GGCTTTCCGGCCACAGATCGTAGAGGACAAAATATGTTTTGCAGAAGGTGTGAATTCGCACAACAAAGTCAGTAAAAGGTCTAAAATGCCGACCGTATCAGGGAGGATAGGAGTGCCCTCAGCTATTCCCTCTGCGTTACAAGCAGCAACGAGGGGATCGTCTTTTAGTTTACAAGATTATACATGCCCACGAGTGAGAATTGTGCTTTAAAGACATGTCTCGATGGCAACTCTTGCCTCCTTCTCGTAGATACTCAAAGAAACTATGCATGAATTTCGCTTCGAATTCGTCACGCGTTGGGTAGTTGGGCGGCGGAATGATCTCTCTCAATCCGTTTTGGATGCACCGTTCCTGCGGGTCTTCAACAAACGCTTGGATAATTTCATGTGTGCCTTTTTTAGACACTCTTAACCCGAACTGTATACTGCGTCAACTTTGGGCAGAATTTTGTTTAAAAACAAAGCTACTTAAATTATGTAGATGTTTTTCTTATAGTGTCCTTTTTCAGAATGCGTGTATATACCACACCGGGATTTAAAATGTTTTTCAAAGAGCTTGCCAATTACCTTCAAAATAAACTGAAATGAACTAAAAAACACCGTGGCGTAGGGAGAAGCGATGATGAGAAACAAAACAGGCGACAACGCGGAATCCGTTATGTAGTTAAGATTGTTATTTAGGCCAGTGATACAAGGGCCGGTTGCCGGTGTGTCGCGATTAGGCAGGAGGTAAGATAAAATGTCGTGCCGTTGGGCGGACCAGCTTTATAAACACTGCTTAAAAAAACGGGAGAGTTGAGTTTTTGTAAAACACGGTCAGTCAAGAGCCATACTATCGCAAAATGCTATTGGATTGCGTATCGACTAGAAAGGGATGGGTAACGTTGAGAAGAGAACAGACGAAAGTGCACCGGATGAGAGGAGATACATCGGTCAATTCATCCGAAAGTTCCGTTCGCGGACACGGGATTCGTAATATTATATTCATGTCTCAGTGTATCAAGACGCTCGCTAAAAATAGCCTTTCCTTAAAAATTAGAAGGAATCGTTTGAAGGGGTCTTTGAGACCTTGATTCGCCCGCCTCTTGGGTAGGGGGTACACTCCTGATAGCACTGGGATAATGGCAACAGTTCTTGGAAAGGACCTAAATAGTGACATGAGCGATTTGGAGAACTTGAGGGCCTTGAACCGTGGATACAATGTCATTGCACTTGATCGCTTCCCTTGGTTGACATACAAACTCAACATTTATTCATCCAGCCTATTAGATTGTCAGAGGGCCGAGGTTTTTCCCGCGGTACGAAGACTTCCTTTAAGTGCCGACGTAAGCAATGCTTCTTTACCCTTTCCAAAGTCCGAGGAAAGTTGTTGCGCGTCGCTTTTTTGACAGTTCTTCTCACAGTAAGTTGTCTTAGTTTCGCCTGCGCTATTACGATACATTATAATACCAGACACATTATAGGTATTTGAGCGATAGAGTTTTATTCAGATTATTCATGTCGTTCGAGTTGTGTCCTGCAGTTCGAGGGTCTTTCCGAGAATACCACACGGAGGAATACATGTCAAACTTTCCGAAACCTCTAGAAAATGGGCAAGTGCCGACTAGTTTATCCCTCCTGCAAGGTTAAGCTGTCTTGGCCCCGAGCGCACGTCCCGAAAATGCTATGCTGTTGGTCGTAGCAGGGGTACTTAAACATTAGCTAGTTGTTCACTTATGTTAATTATCCTATCTTGGTTAGCAAATAAGTTGCAATCCATCCAATCGTTACTCTGGCCAGACAGCTAGTTGACTTCACTTTTCACTACTCCTCCTCACCAGAGGTTTCAATCCCACCGGCTCTGACGATCACAAAATGCGATTCCCGGGGCCATTCATCGGGAGAGGTTTATTGTAGGTCCGACGTATCGAATAGTTAGTTCGCTTACCCATCTTCAGTGTCTTGCAGGTCATGCACACAGCCCTCATTCTATGGTGCACTTTGGTACGTAGCTGGCCAATGCCGCCTCTGTGCATGTAACCAACGGGCATTTCATCGTGTCCTGTGTGGCCTCCGTCTTCTTTGACCGCGGCGATAATTGGCGGCCTGACTGCTTCTCTCAAGAATTTCAAAAAACAGTTAGGGGGCAAGCAACTTAGCGTGGCGGTTGACTAAGCCCTCAGTGGACATCCACGCTTCTTGCATTTGCCTTCCTGTATGGTCATCATCTCGAGCCACAATCTCAACGGCATAAATGTTGAAAATGTGTCCTATCTGCGCAGCATGCGCTGCTATCTGTGTCCTTGGGTCCAGCCTTCGTACGGCAAACTGGTGCTTGTGCACTCGCATTTGTGGCTGTCGACCGGTTTCGTCAGCGTAGTTGCACATCCCCCAGCTGCACTTTACTCTTTAGGCAACGCCGATTTTTTTGCTTAAAGGTACGGTCTCTCAGCCATATGGGTCGTTGGTGATTGTTGAGTTAGTCCTCTGGAGCGCAAGAGATCTAACCACGGTTTCGGAGACCCATGTTGTAAACGAAATGCCCCGCCATGACTTCGGCTGACCACGCTCTTTCTTCCGATTTTTTGTGACATTCGACTCAGTTCAAAGAGAGCCTGCGGATAGCTGCTGGGTCTGAAGAGTTTCCCGAAAAGCTCTATCTCGCCCCGTTTGGTGTCCTCCTGACGGCACTTCTCTACGGAGCGGAGACCTGAACCGTCCACTACAACCATGCCAATAAACTCGACCACTTCCATCTTAGTCATCTTCGTTGATTACTAAATCTGAGATGGCAAGACAAGATTCCCGGCACGAACTTCATAGAACGGACCGGAATCCACAGCATTCACACCATGTTGGGGCAACTGCATCTACGTTGGAGCGGCCATCCCATGAGGATGGAAGATACATGTCTTCCAAGACAACTCTTCTATGGTGATGTCGCCATTGTTACAAAGACGGCCTTACAAGGACAATTTGAAGAACTCTCTGAAATGACCGTAGATCAACCTCGGGAACCTGGGAGGACCTCGATCAGAACTGACCGAAATGGCGAAGAGAAGTGAGGGCCGAGTTCGTTATCTATGAAGCAAAGCGGATCGCCGTCGTTAAAACCAAAATGGAGGCTCGCTTGTTGCAAGTGCCTCAACTCCTCAATGCCAACAGTCGGCCGTTTCAAGCGAAGATGCGAGTTCCAGCAACCAGTTGATCAGAAGAAGAAACGATCGCTGGAACAAGGGCTTTATTCGCCTAACGTTTCGGGTTCTCACTTAAACGCATTTTTCAGAGAAAATGGCAGAAAAGAGTGACTTGTGCACAGGAACTTGCAGTATTTATTGGATGCAGTCTCTATGCTACTGCATACCTTTAGCAATTATCCGCGCTCCCCTTCATCAAGGATTGTTGCCCGCTGGTGCGTTAATTGCTTGATGGCCGGCATGCAAGGTGTTAATTGCCGAAACGCAATCACCCGTTTTGGATGCTGGCGTGAGCATTGCTCGGCCACCTGGCACACCGGCCTGCGCGCTCCCCGAGTGGTCAATTACCTTGGTTAGCCTATGCCTCAGCACGGAATATGGAGTGGGGATGTCGTTGCACTTGTTGATAGACTGAGGTACCGTGAACCTTGACTCAAGTAACTCGCGGCTCACTCGATTATTTTCTCTCGCGAGAATTTCGGTCTCATCGAACTTGAATGTGTGGCCGGGTCTCGTCGAATTGGCCGCGACCTGAGAGTTGGCGTCATTTGTCCGCACCAATGCCGCGTGTTCGGCAATTCGCGTCCGGAGCAGTCTTCCAGATTCTCGGACGTAGTTGCTTTGTTCACAACTGCACCAAATCTGGTAAACGACTCCAGATGTTTCTTGCTATTGCAGTGGGTCTTTTAGTCTCATAACCAGACGCCTTATGGTGGCCTCCGGTCTGTGTTCAACTCCAACTCAAAGTGGTGCGATAAGGCGACTAACGGCCTCAGAGACGTTCTTGATGTACGGGATCGCTCGCCAGAAATTTGGTTTGGCACGGTTTTGGCGCTCGTCTCGTTTGCGCATGCAGCGGTCGACGAGGTTGCCCGGGTAACCATTTTCTCTGAAAACCCGTCGAAGATATTGGGATTCGGCAACCTTGTCTTCCAGTTCCCTGCAGTGCGTCTCAACACGCCGATATAGCGTTCTTACGCAACTGCGTTTGTGGCTGATTGGGTGGTTACTGTTGAAGTTCAGCATTTGCGTCGTGTTCGTCGCTTTTCTGAACACTCTGGTATTTAGGCCACCACAATATTTGCGACAGACGAGGACATCAATGAATGCCAGCTGGTTATTTTCTTACTCCTCCATCGTAAATTGTATGTCCGGGAAGAGGCTGTTGAGACGTTCTTTGAACGTTAGCACTTGATCCCGTTCGATGACGACGAATATATCGTCCACATACCATGTCCGGAATTTCGGTCTGTGGTGTTGGAAGACCAGCGACTCCAATCGCTGTAGGACCGCCTCGGCGATGAATTCCAAAATCGGCGAGCCCATTGGCGTTACCTTCACCTGCTCGTAGATTGTTCCGTCAAACGTGAAGTACGTCCTGAGACAGTACTTTAGGAGCCGAAGGACTTAGGCGTGTCCGAGACGAATCTCCATTTCATTGTATTTGTTCCGTAGGAGTAGCTCGACGGTCTCGATTGCCAGATCCTGGGGGATAGAAGTAAAGAGGGACGTGACATCAAAAGATACCATGACCTCATTTGGCAAGAGACTTACTCCATTAAGCTTCTCCGGGATTTATGTTGACGAACAGACGGTAGTGTCCGAATCAGCGGTCAGAAATTTGAGGCGCCGAAACAGTCATTTCGCTAGTCCGTACGTCGGAGTGCCTTTGAGCGATACAATGGGCCGGAGAGGAGCGTCCTCCTTGTGCACATTGGGAGACCATAGAATCGGGCCAAGGCCGTTTCTTGGGCTCTCGCATGCGTCGGTCGGTCGATGTCATTGCACCCGAGTTCTCTAGTGCCAACAGTGTCGCAGTAATTTCGCGTGTCAGCGTCTTTACGGGGTTGGTTTCACATGGGACATAAAACTGGCGATCCTCCAGTAGGTCTTTGGCCTTCTGAAGGTAGTCTGTTTTGCCCAGTACGACGGTGGAACGGCCGTTATCCGCGGGCACGATGACGATGTCCTTGTCGGCCTTGAGTTCTCTTAGTGCATCGCGTTCGACCTTTGGGAATATTTCCCGCGGTTTGTGGGTCATAAGGCGGGACGACATTTGGTGTCGGATTAGGTTCTCTGTCTCCTCCGCCGCTTCCGTCTGATTAATGACCGATCCCACAGCTGCAATCATGTTGACAGGTTTGGCGTCAGCTGTGTTGAATGAGGCTTCGTGCCGTAAAATCTGTACTTGCTCCTTCGTCAGTTCCTTTGACGACAGGCTGTGTAGCAGTGTGCCACCTCTGGATGACGTCGGATCAGGCAGTTTGTGGAATTTGTTCCCCAGTGCTGCATCGCGTGTCGCTCTCAGCACACGGGCTTGTTCAGTCATCTTCTGCTAAAGCAGATTGTCATCAAACCTGTCCTGGTGGAGACAGCGTGCGGAGCCAAACATTGCCAGTGCGGTGGCCTGTATGGCGTATGTCACTGGGACTTTATGAGCCTCCAGTGTTTACATTTCCCCCCGTTCGGCGTTCATACAGTTACTGATGTCAGATAAATTAACACAGTATTCAAACTTCATGACGTAAATTTACCCTGCGGTTGAAGCTTCCCCTTGAAGATGTCAATAAGGGGATTCGTCCAGGAGCCAGTGCTGCACATTGCCTTAGTCACGAGCACATCACGCTGGTCACACTTCCGAACTAGGATGTATTCCAGCAGATGCCGGTAACGCCAGCGAGCGTGGATCCACATGGTGTCACTGCGCCTCGGAGGACGGGAGAATGTGCTGGTCAGGAGTGGATTGTGTTCCGCTCAGGCCTGATGGAGGAGAAGGTCGTTGCTGTTGCAGTTGCCGATCCCACAGCAACTGGGTGCTAACGCGGACACTGAGTTCACCAACGACAGCCAGTTTACCACTTCTCAGCCCAATTTCAAGGAGGGTGTTCAGAACTTTGTAAAACCTGTTCTCCGCGTCATCGGAACTAGTCATTGGATGGCACAGGCTCTGACGAGTATGGTGGCAATTGTGTCCTTTCAAAGTGGCAGACGTGTGTTCCGAGACGGCCCCTGACTTCTTGTGACAGACAGGAGACCGTCTGACAACGTCAAGGACGTCTACTGCTTATCATCTGCCCAACAAAAGTGCGTATCCCCCCAAATCCCCCAACTGGCACTGTTCAGAGAAGCCGCTCCCACCAACGGTCCCACTGCCCACTTTGTGTCCGACCGATTTGAGAACGACCAAGAAGGAGACGAACATTCTAGACTATTTGGATTGAGCTCTGTCACGCTGGAAGCCTGTAACGAGACATGGGTGTGGAGACAGGAGTCGTTTTTTTCTGGTAGCTTTTGCGTCCACAGACAGGGACTAGCGTGCTGAGGGCGTACTTTAGTGGCAACTTTTGCGGCGCCTTTTGGTTCTTGCAGTATTCACCACAATTTAATTACATCCAGGCTTAACCATAAGGGTAAGCCTAAAATACCGTGTCTACCAAATTAAAATAAACAGGCATGCTACCGCAACAAAAACATGGGCCTAAATACTCTATCCTCGCCAACATCTGTCATAGGGGAGGGACAGAAGGGAGTTTCAGCATAAGTTCGAGAGCTACCGGGTGTTAATACACGCACAAACCAGATATTCTTATCTTGTTTAGCCAGCCGTTCATCGTTGGTTCCCAAACTGTGACCGCTGGGCTGTGTACGATTTCGTGAAGCCTCACATGAGAGCTGGATGCCGGTAGTCGTCGAGGTATAAGCAGACATCAGACCGTCGATGTGCTCGGAAGAGGCTGCTTGCAGATACCTATTATCACCCTAATCGCGCTTATGCTATATCATCGTGCATGACATTTGCGGACACCGTATCTGAGGCATAGTGTATTCGTCAGTTTATTATTGTGCAATGTTCATCCAGACGCATCCACGAAACTGGAGTGACCGTACAAATACACCGTGGGTTCCTGCACACGGCACCCTCTTAACCGAAGTTTTTTGTGCTCTTTCTGAAAGACGCGAATTCAGAGGCCAGAGTTTTGGTTTGAGTAAAATATTTTCTGGTTATGATTCAGGACACTCAGTTTTTCAAGTCCG